CATTCTGTTCCAGAAAAAGGATATTTTGTGGCTCAATGCAAACTTGCACATCCTTGCATGTCTTGTTTAATCATTGATTGCCATTAGGTTTCATGCTCCAGCTACTGAGCTCATGTTTAGCTCCAGTGTTCCTTTTGTTTTAATTCTCAGCCGGTCTTCCTGAAAAGCCTGAGTCAATCCAAGGGCGGTGAAGTGATTGGGTGAAGTTTTCAGGATAGCCAGGTTCAAATTCTTGTTTGAGCTATGGAGATGGCTGAATAGCCTTGAGACAGTCATTGTGCACAGCCTCACCTACCTCCCAGGGTTGTTGGGAAAGGCAAATTAATTCCATTTTTGGATAAGGAGTAGAATACAAATGTGACTGGTGAAGTAGGGCCATCATACTCTCTGCCTGTTATCTACGCATCTGAATAGCAAGCGTCAATATACCAGACCATCTCTCTCCCCCACCCCCATGTCTGGGTCCAATATCATCTCTGGATCTCTTATCACCCTGGAGCAAGTGGGGCAAGCAATCAACATTCCAAAGCCCTAGACTCTTAGAAAGAAGGACAATGGTTTGTCCACACGGACAAGGAGCAATAGATTAAATCAGTGGTTCTTAACCTTGGGTTACTCAGGTGTTTTTGAACTGCAACTCCCAGAAACCCCAGCCAGCACAGCTGTTGGTGAAGACTTGTGGGATTTGCAGTCCAAAAACACCGGAGTAACCCAAGGTTAAGAACCACTGGCTTAAATGTTGCAAGGAACATCAGCTGAGGTGCTACCATCTCCAGGAAGATCATACAAAGGCAAAACCAGGTCCTGTGGTTTGTTTTCTTAGTATCAGAATGCAACTTCTTCTATGGTGGAACATTGTTTTTGTTTACGAGCTCTCTGAGATCCATGAAATGGAGTCATACACAAAAGATGGTCTCAGGATTAAACACTGCTAAACCCAGCACTTTGGTCTGAGTTCCAGAAATGAATGGCCCCAAAGGTTTTTCCAGACAAAAACTCCTGCTTAGCCCAACTTACTCATTTTGGAAGTGTTATTTAGGGCAAGAGGAACATAATTGTTGGTGCTGCTTTTGTTATACAACTGAGAGTCAGAAGTCTTCCTTGCTGACATGCTGCAAAGAACTGGGAGATCTGCCATTAAATTGTGACTTAATTTCATCCTTCCCCTGGACTAGATGGTCCCCCAAAACCATTTGCTTGGAAGATTTTCTGACATGGTGGGGGTCACAATTATGATTCCATGAAGCTAGTTCATCCAAACTTTGTCAGGCCACGAGCCCATCTCTGGGTGATGTCAGGGCTTGACCAAGGAATTTTGCTGCTGGAGGTAAATAAAAAAATGCCTCTCCTCTAGTATAAAAACAGAAGCTAACTGGGCAGGCAGCTGAATTTTACACTGTCAATGGGGGCAGCCTCCTCCATTCCTCTGAGAGCATTGTGATGGTACAGGTCAGAGAGAAAGAGAGATCTTGGGCAGATCTGGGGGCAAATGTTGTCCTCCAAGGCTGGTGCGGCTCAGGGACTGAAATAAGGGATGTCTTATTCCAACATGTCGGGGGAGATGCTCATCTTAGTCCTGAGCCGCCCTCACCCTGTGGATTGTGTCACTCTGCACTGCTGAAACACCGGCAGCAAATAATGTTATCAGATTATTCAGGCAAACTGAACAGAAAGCAAGAAATGCTTCTCTGGATGGCGGTTGTCCTTGGTGCTGCATTTGGATGGCAAACCATGAAAACTCAGTTAAAGCATGTGTTTTCTACTTCTGTTAATGGTGCTGCTTCGCCATTTCTCCTTGACATTTGACCATACAGTTTTAGGGAGCCTGCATTATGGTTATTAACAGGCTCTGTTGCCTTCCCATGGTTCCAGTGGCATGCAGAACTCTGTTTTCCAACAGAGGAGACTGGCCAGGTGGCTTCTTTAGTTTGCTTAAAGCCAGGACTGAAGCTGACCGATGACAATGACCATCTGAGGCCTCAAGCAGAAGCCTTTCTTTCCTCAGCCCTGTTCTCTGAGCTGGGCCCTAGGACCTTGTACTTCTGCTTGCCAGGCCTGGGCTCTGCTACTTCCTTCTCAGTGGCATGAGTCTAATTGCAAGGAAAGGATCAACATTTTGTATTTGATGTGAATGATGATCCAGAGTGTTTGGGGCAATGTCTGGCTTTGCGCAAGGCACGTCAAGGGACGTGGTGGCGCTGTGGGCTAAACCGCAGAAGCCTGTGCTGCAGGGTCAGAAGACCAAGCAGTCGTAAGATCGAATCCATGCGACGGAGTGAGCGCCCTTCACTTGTCCCAGCTCCCGCCAACCTAGCGGTTTGAAAGCATGCAAATGCAAGTAGATAAATAGGGACCACCTCGGTGGGAAGGTCACAGCGTTCCGTGTCTAAGTCGCACTGGCCATGCGACCACGGAAGATTGTCTTCGGACAAAACGCTGGCTCTATGGCTTGGAAACGGGGATGAGCACCGCCCCCTAGAGTCGAACACGACTGGACAAAAATTGTCAAGGGGAGCCTTTACCTTTACCTTTACCTAGCTTTTCCAAAGCATCCAGTATCCAAATTTGATTGTGATGTAACCCACCAGGAAGGAACAGGGCTTGGTTTGTTTTTCTCAATGCTTACTGAGTTAGTGATTTTCTTTTAGTTGACCTTCTTCCAATCCAACTGCCGATAAAGATTCTTCACATTGCTTCTCTCATCCGCTTTCCTTCCTTGCACCCAGCATTATGAAGTAATTTGGGATTGAGACGACTGCTTTGGAAAAAGTTATGTTTTCTTCTGTGAAATCTTGTTGCCACCCAAGAAAGTGGTCATGAAGAAGACTCGGAGCACCCCAAACCAAGAAGCCACTATTGTGACCCACCAGTTTAAGCTGCCCCTGATCAGTTGCAATTCAACTGACATTTACACAGCAAGCGACAGGTTGCATCCTAATACGCTGCCACCAGACTGAGTTTCCTCACTTTGCTGTTTGGAAGAGCTGTTTTTCAACCAGGATCCGATCAGAGTGGGGTAAAGTTACTGTTTGAACTACAACTCCCAGAATCTCCATGGCTTGGGGATTCTGAAAACAGTAATCCACACTGTAACTTTCCCCCAGTTCTATTCCATAAGAGAGAGGGGGAGAAATCCCAGCCTCCTCATCCCCCTCCTTTCTTCCATCAATTCCAAATTAGTTACTTCCAAACTGTTGTTGTTGATGCTGCTGCTGCTTAAATCCTTCTGGTTTCCTGCTATGAAGGCGGCTGGCCGCTTAGCCTTGCTTTCTCAGCAGTAACCCTTTTCCTCTCTGTGTCCATGTTGTGTGAGTTAAGGGAGAGGGGAAAAAAACAGAAACAAAAAACAACCAACACAGAAGCTCCAGTGTCTCTGATGGATGTGTAAAAAAAATAATAATAAGGTGACGGTTGGCATAGAGTCCCCCCCCCCTCCCTTTCTTTTTAAGGTAGGGAGGAGGGGAGGCTGGAAAGGATTTCTTGGAAAAAAAATGTGTGCACATTGTTGTAGAGGCAGTAGCGTGCGCCGAGGGGAGCTCTTTCTCTCGTCTGCATTGTGCAAGGGAGCAGGTGCTGTCTACATTACCATACAGCTGAGAGCACAAAGGCCCAACTGATTCAGGCCTCACATAATAACAAACTGCCTTAATGACAGCCACGCGAACGACACACACCGAACGCACTTTATATCTAGCTATCTAGCTATAACCAAACTTGGAGGAGGGAAAAGGCAGAGGGTGCACCCGCGCGCGTGTAAAAGAGAATTGGCGATGTTGCTCTTCATCACGATCATCATCCCCATCCTACAAGGAAAAAGTTAAAAAAACAAACACACACACACACACACACACCAGGCGAGGCTTTCGGAGGGTTGCCAGTTGATCCAGGATGCTGGGCTATGGAAAAGGAGCGTGTGTGTGAGTAGGAGGGTGCGTTTCTTCTGGAGGTCTTTAAAAAAGCAGGACTGTTTACCCATCCAAGCTTCTTGCTTTCT